GTCAATAATTAATCTCTCTTTAACATCTTCATGCCAAAATTAATATATTATTGATGAGTTTTGTATAACTTTGACGAATGAGTGATCATTATATCAACTTAATTGATTACCTATAATAAAGACGCGTATTTTGATCTTGCAGAACTTACATGTCAATCCTGATCTACTTAACTACAACTCTACAAGTATTGACTATATGAAAACATATTCTCAATGCATAAATTTTCCTTTAATTAATCCGTTATCCGATTGTCCACTCTGTAAATATTTATTTTCTTATAAAAATAGATAACAGATTGGTTTAGATTTTCCAAAGCCGAACATTTGCAGCTTTTTTTTTCTTGGCCGTGGACCCCAGTCCCACAAACTAAAGTCGGGGTGGTTTAGTGGGTCCAGCTATCCACTTAAACAAACCGCATCATCAAGCGACTATGTACAGAAGAAAGGACATATAAATCAGATGAGTTAGATCCAACGGTGCAGATTGGACAGTAACAAAAACAGCTGTGCAGGATGGGACCTACCATAGTACGAGTCGGTGATTACACGTGTGGGTCTCTATCTAACCTTTTACTCTCATTTTTTTTTTTTTACTCGAGAGATGAAGAGAAGGGAGATAATATGAAAGATTTTGAATTAATAATTTACTTGGTATATGAAATCATTAACTAGTTTAAAATGTTTGGTTTCGGTGAAATTATAAAATGTATGCATATGATGATTGATGATGATAGATACTGGTAAAATATTGTGTGTGTTTGTTTGTTTAAGACACATGATTTGTTAGTTGTGCATTACTGTCACTGAATATGACATAAATTACTAAATTAGTCAATAACATGATTAAAAAAAAAAACAATGTTACTGATTCGAATTAAAGTATGTAACTATGTATCGTGTATGTGATTTGATTGTCCAAGATCGAATTATTAAAATAAAATAGCATGATTGAGTCAAAACGTGCAAAAGATTGAACAATCTTTAATTACATTTTGCTGTTTAGTATTTTACATAAATATAAATGAAAGCTAATAGTCATTTACTACCAACATCCTCATATTAATCATTATTTGCAATTTATTGTGCAAGGTTACGAGAAACACGTTATACAATTCTATTAAATTCTTCGTTCCACCAAACTAGTATTACCACAATCTCTTATTCAATCACGACCATAAACATTGTTAAGGTTAAAGAGTAATAAACTCGTTGACCAAAAAGGATAAACTAAAACAAAAGTGTAACATCTTTTGATTTGTGTCGATTTTTTATTTGATGACATTGTAACAACATGGCTCAAAGTGATAGCCAACTTTCCCGCAACCCAAGTCAACAATCTTTTTTTCTGGTTTTCAAGTTAAAACCAAGAACAACAAAAACATCATACATTGCAACAATGTTCAACATTCATGGCAACCTCAAGGCTTTGATCGAGTCGATTTCAACTCGGAAATCACCTGCTCCTGATTTTGCTCCAACCGCACCACCTTCTGCGTTTACCGATAGTGACATACCCAGAACACGACCTGGATTCATCTCCATTTCCACATCGATAACATTTCCTCTCCATGTTGGCAAGTATCGAGCTAGAGGGATCTGTTATATTTCAAATCCCGATTATTAATGGCCCTCAACTAGAAGTGAAACATTAAAGTGAACTCATAATCAAAATGCACTAAAGCCCTTAATTGATAACATCTACAGAAGTAGGACTTGCCTTAGCAGTATACCAACTATCCTTTGGAGCAAAAACAAAAGCTTGCCACGAGTTATCTTCTGCTTGTCCTGGTGAGTTCACCCAGTTTTCGGTATAGATCTGAATCAAAATCAAGGTTTAGTTTAACAACCCTTTTGCCCTTGCAACGTTTGTTGTTTCATCTGGAGTAAAGGAAAGGTGAGTATCAGCATGAAACTTACAGTAGAAATATAACATCTTCCATCTCCTCTGAGCCTCAGGGCTATTGCATCATAACCATCGAGATCAATGAAGCCATCAAACTGCAAAAACAAGGTCGAATTAGTTGGTATAGTGCGCTCAGCTGACTCAAAACGTCTCCCGATTACAAAACCAACATGAAATATATTAACCCTCTTTCCTTCTTGTATTCGAACAATCATTGATATGCAGAAATTATGTTTTGATTAAGAGTAAGAACAATGAAAGCTGTGTGTTGTTAACCTTCTTTGAACGCATTCCACAGAAGCCACTTCGACTGATGTTCCATTTTGATCCCTCACTAAGGTCTACGGAAAGGTTCCCTGAGAAAATTCCTATAAAAGATATTTGGGCGAGAAGCATCAATAATTGGAGCAGTGTAGAAAACAAAATGAGACATTGAGAAACAATGGTTACACAACATAGAAGAAGTATCATATTTTCTATTAGTGAAATTCATTACAGTGACATGATGGAGGCCAAGTAAATTAAAAGAGAAACTGCTAAGTAGCTAACCAGCGCATTCTGATCCATTTCCTCTATCTGGGATCTCCAAGGAAGCCGAAGATAATCCTATGAAATAAGTATCAAACACATTGCCAACAAATAAACGTTAAAATGCATACAAACTGTCAACATATCAATTGAACTCTTGCAATAAACAATCTTCAGAAATCTTATTTTGTCTCAGTAGTTGTTCATATAAATAACCGAGTCATGTAAATGAAAGGGGGTAAAAACAACAGAAAAAATAATTTTATTAAGGAGATGCTTGAACCTGCTGCTTAAGTACCTCCATATTCAGAATCAGAATAGAGATGCCATTGCTTCAAGTCTTCTTTCGAATGAAACTTAAATATATACTTCTCTGCAGGTGGTACCCATTCTTCAACGTTCCACGTAAGAGCTAACAGTTTGCAGAGCGGTGAAGATAAGTCAGAAACTAGCACTTTCTGCTACATTCAAAAGCATAAAGGCTAGCACAGAAATATACATGTAAACCCAAAAATGTTACAACTCTTGGAATATAAAACCATCGTCATTTTTTCCTCAAACATCACTTGCTATCAGTCACTGTCTAAGTAAAAGCACAAGCACAGCATAATAAAAGGAAACATCTCCACCCACAAAAAAAAAATCAATATATCAAAGGACTAAGTGCGACGCATCATAATTTACGAAAAGGTAGCAGGTGAATACCCTTCTTTGTCGCATTTACTGATGCTTGCAACAATGATCGAAACCTTGACATGTCTCTGTAGCTGCTTTCCCCAAGTAAAAATGAAGAAAGCTAGTACACATATAAAACATTGATTGATAGGAATTAAAACTCCAACTTTCAATGCTAATCACCAAATTACACACACAAAAACTCCACGATCAGAATCACACTCCAACAAAGTATAAAAGATAAGGTATTTGCAAGGTTAGCTACATCAGCAGTTCACGCGTAAGAGGCATAAAATACTATCGTATACATTGGAGAGGCTTAAGTGACCAAGTCTATACTCTATAGTGATGTGATTCCAGCATCATTAGGAGCCGAAGCTAGGACCCAATCCAAAAGACCTTTTACAATTAAACGCATAAGAAAACAAAAATATGAGCCAATAAAAAGTATATGCCATTGGATAAGACTATTACCCATTGAGGCATTTCAACAAACACCATGTAAGCCAAAAATTGATCAATTCATCAGCAATGTAGTGAGTTAAAAAACAACTTCCCGCCACATTCTTCAGACAAAACTCGACAGTCGACAAATACCACATACGCTAATAAAAAGATTACCATTCCAAATCATCTTATAGTCCGAAATTCACAGGAACACAGAAAAAATTCAAAGCAAACAAGATCTGATAAGAGAAATGTTCAGTAACACACAAACATTCATCTCTACTTTCAGGGTTTTCGATAAACGCAGTGAAACTCACTCACTGGATTTTCCGTCACCGTCGCGACCGTTGCACAATCAACGTCGGTCACCGATTAGCGGCAGTCAAACTTGGAAAGACCAAGAAGACGCACTTCGCCGTCGTTCTATGGTACGTCGACGTGTCACGACACTAATCTTCTTTAAATGGGCCTATTTGGGCCTAGCTCTTCAATACAGCCTTATTACACAGTATCAATAGTCCAGACTCCAGAAATTCTTGCTTT